AATTGAAACAACGGCCAGTTACGATTAACAGCAATGGAAATAAGGACCTGTATAGAAGAAATCTTTGCAACAGGGGAAAAAGTCCCATCATAATCAACACCATAAGTCTGGGTGTACCCCTTTGAAACAAAACGAGCTTTCAAACGCTCAATAGAACCATCATGGAGATATTTGACAATGTAGACCCACTTACAACCAACCGGTTTGGAACCAGGAGGTAAGGGAACAAGATCCCATGTCCCACTATGATGAAGAGCATCCATTTCATCGATCATGGCTTGTCGCCAACCAGGATGAGAAAGAGCATCCTGCAAAGTCTTGGGAACAAGTATAGCAAACAGTTTGGATAAAAAACAAGATAAAATGGGTGAAACATGATTATATGAGACAAACTTAGAAATAGGATGTGCAGTAATACAAGATCGAATACCTTTGCGTAAGGCAAAAGGAAGATCATCAGCAGCAACAGGAGCCTCAATAGAAGTAGACAATTGGGGGGCTGCTACTCATGGTCGACTACTATACACTTGAAGTGGCGGTGACACTGGAAGACATAGTTGTTAAAGGCTCAAGGCGCACAAAAGCGCAAATGCCTCCTGGAGCCTGAGGCGCAAGGCGCAAGGCGCAAGGCGAGGCGCGCGCCTGACTGAAGTAAGGCGCACGTTGAAAAAAAAAAAAAACAAAACCCACCCAATAAAATATTAAAGATGCAATAGTATATATAAAGATATAAAAGTCAACTAAATGAATTACTTAAGTTAACTATTCAACATAAAGATTGCAAAACCAAGTAAATCAAGTACTTGAGTTCAACAGTGAATAATCAAACATATTAAAACTAAAACAAACAAACATAAACATCATATATGGACTGCATAACATGTTCATACATTTATATACATTCACTTATTACTTGCATATACTATATGAGATTTATCTACCATATGAGATGTAATATATATGCATATATGGACTGCATGATACCATATACTAACTGATATGTATACTATAATTTATTCCAGCAGCACAGAATTGTATACTACAATTTATTCCAGCAGCACAAATTATAAAAAAATAAATAAAATAAATAAAAGAAGAGGCTGAACTCTGAAGAGCAGAAGCACAGAGAGCCGAGAAGTAGAATAGAAAAAAAAAATACCATTGAAAGACACCATTACGTTGGACAAAGATGTTTGGACTGACACAAAGGGGATCCATTACGTTGGACTAACCCAAGGATCCATTACTGATTTTTAATTAATTGTGTCACAGAATCAAATTTTAATATAAGAAAATATAGTTGAAATTTGCGCGAGCCTTTGAGATTTTATAGAGAAGAAGAATAAAAGAAGAAGAAGAAAAGAAGAAAAAAAAAAAGAAAAAGAAAAAGACCGAAAAAAACTGGAGAAAGAAAAAATAAAAAAATAAAAAGGAAGAGGACAAAAAAAAAAAAAAATACCATTGAAAGACACCATTACGTTGGACAAAGATGTTTGGACTGGCACTAAGGGGATCCATTATGTTGGACTAACCCAAGGATCCATTACTGATTTTTAATTAATTGTGTTCCAGAATCAAATTTTAATATAAGAAAATATTGTTGAAATTTGCGCGAGCCTTTGAGATTTTATAGAGAAGAAGAAGAAAAGAAGAAAAAAAAAAAAGAAAAAAAAAAAGACGAAAAAAACTGGAGAAAGAAAAAATAAATAAACAAATCTGCCAGGACTCAGGAGAGAGCCGAGACTCGAGAGAAGAAGAAGAAAAGAAGAAAAAAAAAAAAAAAAAAAGAAAAAGAAGAATAAAACTGGAGGAAAAAAAATTAAAAATAAAAATAAAAAGAAGAAGAAAAATAAAAATAAATGATATAAATCTGGCAAGAAAGAGCCGAGAGTCCGAGAGTCGAGAGAAGAAAAGAAGAAGAAGAAAAGAAGAAAAAAAAAATCTGACAGATCCGGCAGATCCGAGAAGAGGAGGAGGAGAGAAGAAGGAGAACTTACCTGCTGAGTGTTTGCCAACGGCGCGACGCAGATCCGAGAGTCCCAAGTGAGCATTGTATTGCCTTCACTGCTTCTGTCTTCTTCTTTCCTTTGCTTCTCTTCTTCTTTTTTTTGTTTTTTATTTTGCAAGGCTTTCGGCTTTGAGCTTTATACTATATTAAGTAATAAAATAATAGAATACAATAATATAACAATACACACTTACACAGAGTCACAGACAATAAACAAACAAAAAAAAAAAATAGCGAAAAAAAGTAAAAAAAACTACAGTTTCATGCAAGCACGCCTTTATAGCGCCTGTAGCCTGGCACCTTGGTCGGAAAAGCGCGCGCCTCTCTTAACACAGACGCCTTAAGTGTACCCAAGGCGCAAACATGGCGCCTGGAGGCGCCTTTGACAACTACGCTGGAAGAGGTTGTGGTGTGACAGCCTCTAATGAAGTAGACACAACAGGTAGCGGAAGCAACAATTCCGTATCTAAAGATGAACCACGGGCAGAGAAATAAGGGGTGTCCTCAAAAAAGGTAACATCCATACAGACAAAAGCGCGACGAGTATAGGGGTCCCAACATTTATAACCTTTTTGAGTACGAGAGTACCCAATAAAGACATATTTAATGGCACGAGGAGACAATTTATCAGTGCCAGGACGTAAGATGTGAGCAAAGCACACACACCCAAAAACACGAGGAGTAAATGCAAATAACGGTCGAGTAGGAAAAACAACAGAATAAGGGCATTTCCAGTTAAGAACGGAAGATGGCATACGATTAATTAAATAGCAAGCAGTTAAAACTGCATCGCCCCAAAATGGCTTTGGAAGATGCATATGGATCATTAAAGTCCGAGCTATTTCAATTAAATGCCTATTTTTCCGTTCTGCTACGCCATTTTGTTAAGGAGTATAAGAACAAGAAGTTTGGTGCAAAATACCACGAGACTCACAAAATGTAGAAAAGCACCTTTGACATATTCCATAGCATTATCAGATTGGAGAATTTTTATAACACAGCCAAATTGGACCTTAATTTCTTTAAGAAATAATTGAAATATGGGAAAAAGTTCAGACCGGTCTTTCATTAAAAAGAGCCAAGTCATCCTTGAATAGTCATCAACAAAGGTAACAAAATATGAAAAACCTGAATTACTCACATGACGCACAGGACCCCAAATGTCATATGTACCAATTCAAATAAAGAAGACTGGCGATTATCAACTCGGGGAGGAAACGAGACTCTATGGTGCTTGCCTAATTGACACGACTCACATTCTAAAGTAGACACTGACCCAAGAGAAGGAATGGCAGACTTTAAGTACTTTAAGGATGGATGACCCAACCGATAATGCCACTGGTGGGCATTGGCAGAGACCTGTGAATGGAGGACAGTACCACCAGTAGGCAACTCACAATCCAAGTAATAGAGACCATTTTTCGCAATGCCTTCAACAATTGTCTTCTTTGTTTTGAGATCTTGAAAGATACAAAATGAGGGGTAAAAGGTCACGGAACAGTTAAGTGCCTCAGTAATCTTACTCATAGATAATAAATTGAAAGGAAACTGAGGAACAAGTTGCACATGAGATAACGAGATGGAAGGTGTTAAATGAAGTGTACCCTGTCCAATAATGGGACGAGTCCTGCCATCGGCTAAAGTAACAAAAGAAGGAGAATTAAACTTTTGAAAAACAGAAAATAAAGATTGATTACCCGTTATATGGGTAGATGCCCCAGAGTCAAGAATCCAAGAGGAAGAGGAAGACTGAAATTCCGAAAAACACACAACATTACCTGTTTGGCCAAAATTAGCAACATCGTCAAGAGATGTGGGTTGTGTCGAATGGGCTAAAGCATGGAACTCGGCTCAGGATATTGCGACATTGTCATTAGGCAGCAATACAGAAGCCTTAGGAGGTGAATTGTCGTGGCAAAGAGAGGGATGAGAAGAGTCTGAAATGATGAACCGAGAAGAAAAAAACACACTTACTGTCCCGAGAAGAAATAGAGTGCACCGGATCCCAAAATGGGTTAAACCAGAACCGGATCTCTGCAAACCTGGTTTTAGTAAACCAAGGTTGGGATAAATTTACGCCTGCAGCCAAACACCACCCAACCACTTCTTCTTCAACGAACGCTGCAACTTCCGGCCAAAAACAAAAGAACCGAGTCGGCAACCACTGACCAACGAACGAGTCACGAAGCTAGGGACACAACACAGGGCGATGACTGCAAGGGAACTCCTGCAATAGCAAAGGATGAGGTCGCGACACGAAGAAACAGATCGGAAATTTCACGATCTGACAGAAATTTCAAGGGCCGGGCAAACCCAAATCAGACGGTGATCGATTTCATCGGCATCAAACCATGACGCCGCTGCTGCTGCTCTCGGGGTTCTTGAGAGGCGATGGTGGCGAAGCTTGTGCACAGCAATCGCGAACCAGCCGGCGATGAAACTCTGCAACTTCACTTTCACAGTGATAATAAAGTCAACGGCAACGGCACTAACGAGTACCATCAACAAAGCAACAGAGGAACAACCACTCCAAAAAAAACTTGACGGCCACAATTGATTCTCGAAGCTAGTACACACCCCAGCCATCGATTATGCAACTTGCAACAGCAACGGCACTAATCGGACCGATGATGCTCTAATACCATGTGAAAATGCAAGAGTAGAGAGAGAGATATGTACAATGAGAGAGTGCAAAGATGGAGGCGCTGCCTCTACATATTTCATTTACTACATTCAACCCTAAACATAAAAGGGTAAATAAACAATACAAGAAAGGCCTATTGCATAATGGCCACAAACCCTATATCTAAATACAATCTGACCCCAACATAAATACATATTTACATATAAATATTCTAACAGCCTACAAACCCGCTGCATATCAAATTTGTAACAAAAATGCCCTGATGAAATGTCCAATGATATGTCAGGTGATTTTACTTCAGAATCTCAAATTGGTCAAGGAGAAATTGAGAAGATATGGAAAACTTACAGCAATTATCACTCTTCCAGATGCAGAAAACATTTCACCAGCAATATCAATTTCAACTGTAGTTTCAGCTCCTACAGCTGGTTGGGAAACACATGCCAAGTAATGGCGAACAACAAGCTCATACAGTTTCTGACAATTAAATTAATTAGTTACTATGGAGAAACATGTAAACTCAAGCAATAAAAATAAAATAATAGACATGATTATATGTGTGATCTTATCCAATTGTGGTGAGTTCTGATAATAATAGCACTTACATGGTGGTCTTGACTCCATCCCGATTCTCCGGCTGAAAATTTTGTTGGGTGAATGGGAGGATGGGCTTTGTCATCATGTCCACCGCCACTAGGGTTTCTCCACAATCCTGCTGCAGGGTCCAATAACCGCTGTGCATATGAGCCCCATATAGGATGTCCTTGTTGTTCTTGCACAATTATCTATGCCAAATCAAGATCCCAAGGGTCACTTAATCCAACAAAAGCAATGAAAATAACTATACGAGTGATAATGTCCAACAAAGCGGTAGATACCAACACAATCTTAATATATAATCTGATCAATCATAAACATTCTTAGTAATACAAAACTAAATATTGAAATATGATTACAGATAACAGTTAAAAGTTGGATTAAGATGACTTGGAAACTTGAAGGGCAGAGAAAAGACCAATGTGATTTTCTCTTATTAGCATATTATAACATAATATTTAGAGTAGGCAATCAAGAAGTTCAGGTCTAGTGACCTTTTTTAGAAAGATTAAGGTAGAACACTCCTAAAATTCCAAGAAACAGGGTGCTTATATCATATTATAGGAAGTCCGGACTCGAGGAGGAAAAATTAGGTATGAGGTTTAGTTAATAAAGGGATGTGAAGATTGAATAATAACTATAAGAGAAAATTTTATTAGATAAAGAGAGAAATTTATGGAAGTTCATCTGAGGGCTAAACATTTGGACAATCCGTTTGCAAACTAGTTATTAAGAACTCCATTTTGCTTCAAATGGATTCATACCCAACTAGTGCACTGCTTAGGTCCTTTTAATAAACATATTTGACACCTGTAACAATTACAAACGAAGACCTTTTACCCTAAGAAGCACGGACATGGATACGGGACACGGATATGACACGACACGGACACGGCAAATCCAAAAAAATTAGGACACGGACACAGCGGGGACACGGCGAATAGTATGTGTGTGTGTGTGTGTGATGTTGTACTTTAAAAATTACTGAGCGTTACTATTTTTCATCAACCTCACAATGAAAAAAGACACAAATCATAACTCATAACTAATAAACTATAAAAGAACAATGTTGCATAGTTATAAAACAAAATAAAAAACAAGACATTAGAATAATAACTAGTATCATTTAATCATCATTGCAACTTTACTCCAAATACAAAAGCATAGACAGAAAGGACTATTAACATTCATGACTGTTTAAAATTCAGGACTTCACTTTTAGCACTTAACATTCACAAAAACCTAAAGGCTAGTCCCCAAAAAAGATACAAAAACAAGTCAGTGTACTATCATCTATTCCCATCCATCATTTGACCTAGGACTTTTACCATTTACAATACCAAAAGGGTAGTACAAAAACAAAAAACAGAACATATCAACATTAAAAATTTTAAAAAAATAAAAAAATTCTTGACACGTGTGTCCGCGGAGTGTCCTTGCCGTGTCCGAAAATAAATAAAAAATAAAAAATTCAAACACGTTTTTTGGTGTGTCCGACACGTGTTGGGACATTCCGACTCGTGTCCGTGTCCGACACGTGTCGGACACAGATTCTTCACCCATTTTGGTGTGTCCGTGCTTCCTACCTTTTACCTAAAGCACATCTGAGAATGCCTAAAGCAACTCTTAAGATTATAGGTCTCTCATAGACTCGAATTTATTAAACAAATTTCCAGCAAAATCATTGAAAATATACCTACTAAAACGATTGTTAGAGAATATTATTACAGGAACCTTAAATAATATTCTCCAACAACAGTAACAGAAAGAAATGGCAATTTAACCTGTCCCACCTCACCCTTCCCCGATTGGAATGGTGTCGGGGCAGGTATGAGAGAAGGAAGTCAAAAGCCACGTAGGTCTGAGGCGAGTCGGGAAGGCTACCACTAAACGCCACATTTATTGCAAATTTACATCAATACCTCTATATTTTAACAAATATACTAAAATACAGTTAGACCTAATTTTTCTCAAACCCCAATTTTACATCTTAGACTCTCATATTCCATCAACTGTCTTCCTCCCTCCCTCTCTCTCTTTCTCTCTATCTCCATCAAAAACCCATGGTGACTCTCTCTATCTAACAAAGGCTGAACAACAAAACCATTGAACCAGTGACCAAAAAGCTCAGCTACTCTTCATACCTGTCTACTTGGCATCTCTCAGTCGCCCCAGTGATAGCACCAACAGCAGCTCCTTCTTTTGAACCATTGAGGAGTGAGCCATTGAGCTTCCATGTTCCTTTCCTTCTATGATCTCTACTCAGTTTGCATCTCTTGTTCTCTCTAGTGACAATGGCTCCACTCCTTGTCTATTTAGTTTTTCCTTTTTCATTTCCTCTAACAAAGCTTTATTGAAGCTTCAACTATGAGGACGATGCAAGTTGGGGTTGTTAGCTGCCAGGGTTTGGGATTGAAGCAGGGTTAGGATAATGAATACCATAGATGGGGCAAGACAAGGGTGGGGGTGCTGAAGTGTCCCCCACCCATACCTGCCCCATCGCCATCCATAATTACAAACCAATATAAAGATATTCACAACCATGATCTATTGAAATATTCAAACCATCGGGGAAAATAACATTTAATTAGTGCTTAAAGTACTTTTGTAATTCTTGTTTATTCAATAATATAAATAGACGGGGGTGTAAAGATGTTCACAAAGATCCCTATACATTTTGATGCCACCAGGATGAATCGAGGACAGAGACTTATGACTCATCCAGAATCTCCCTCCTAACCTCAACATCCTTAGGCACATATAATCTTCCTCGCAATCTAATACCACCATCTGGTTCCCTCTCCCAACTCTAATCGACACTTCATCAGTAACCAAGAATGCTGAGCATATCAAGGAGTGTGAGCTTAACTGCCAAATGGGAAAGGATAACACACTGTACTTTATCAGTTAATTGTACTTTACATCTTGCCTCCTCACCCTCTCTTGTTGCATCATTGAAGCCATAACAACATCTGCAAAAGGAGCGGAGGGGTTGGATGAGCTAGCACAACCAGTAAATCTCCTAGGTCTAGCCATCTGTGAATAAGAAAATTGTCAAGAGATTCACATTTCTTTTCATATAACAAAGTATATTCTAGACATGATCCCAAGGATATTAAACCTAGACCTTTGATTCCACTGAAAATCAATCTAGCACCTTTTATCAATGTCCACTTATTTCGATGCGTTTACTAACTTCATGCAAGCAATAATCACATGTTCTATTTTCTTGGCTAATCAAAAATTAATTGCCTTAAAGATAATAATAAATTCAATGAGAATTAGGTCGGAAGAAAAGCTTATAGACACACATTTACTACATCCCAATAAAAGAAAATTAACCACAGCATCAATGTAGCAAGAACAATAAAGGAATCTCTTAATCACTAAGAGTCCATGCAAAGGAAATAAAATAATAAATAAATAAGGAGAACCCAGCCACATTATTGACAATGGAACACCATCTTACTCTTTCATCCCTTCACCTGAAAAATATCAAGCAATGTAATGAACTACACAGCACAGTAAGGTGTAAGCAAATATACTCATCCTTAAGCGGATAATAAATTAAACTGTTGTAAATTTCATTGTTTTTAGTATTATTTTTTATTATTATTTCTAATATTATTTAACCATTTAATAAACTTAATTATTATTATAATAATAATTAACATTCACAAACTCACCCATTTACTCTAAATTCACAGATTGTGTTATGAATTTGTGAGTAGACAGTTTCCAAATAAATATATAAGGAATCCCACAAATAAATCTCGTTAGCATGCAGGGCGGACTTATTATTTTCGTCAATAACATAATCTGTATGTAACGAATCATGATGCTTAACACTTCACTCAATCACAAATCTAACAGTTCACATAACTCTGTGTCGTATTCCCATGGAGCGTACACCAGCAGGATATATGAATCATGATGCTTAACGCTTCACTCAATCACAAATCTAACAGTTCACATAACTCTGTGTCATATTCCCAAGGAGCTTACACCAGCAGGATATAAAGACATTATCCTATAAATTAACCACTCCAGCTGTCAAACCCAACCTGATGTTATCACTGGGTAAGTTGGTACTAGCATAGTATTTTCAATCTATAACTGTCATTTCAAAAGCCCCCATGCTATGCTATCCGTGGAGTAACCATATCATCCCGAACCTGAAGTTGAAACCGGCAGGATATGTACAGCCAGGACAATCACTATCAAATTGTTTTAGACAAACCATACAATCATCCATATCCACCCTAAAGCTGTCACCGACATGGATATGTACCATATTCATACAACTACTTCTATCTTTTATCAATTAACAGATTCACATTCAATTCTTTGTACACACAAATATCCTCATCCAATAACAAGACACGATATGGGTCCATCCATTGCTACTTTCACTATTTTTATTCCTTATTTTTCCCCAAAAGCTAATTACAGTTAAGGTATCAATAAATTTCACTGGTTACCAAGACTAATTTTTCAGTCCATACTCCTGCAAGTTTGAAGTTCACTGACAATGTCAATAAGAATTAGAATTATTCTCTGCAAGCTTTTGATTAAGTATAACTAAATTATTAATAATAAATCATTAAAAAATATATGAAACTAAGACGAACCATGTGCCAAATTCATGCTTCCACCAATTTTTCATTCATCTGTCTCCTTTTTCAAAAAGTTCCATCGTTGCTATCAACCCATTATCCACTCAAATGATATATATGTAGTTATGTACAATATAAGAATACACATATTTACATCCACACATCAACAGTAACAAGAAGGTTGGCCACAAGTATAAATATCTAGTTTCCCACCCTACCTCATTTTTCAACTGTTAACTACAATCTTACGATTTTATCAATATTTTTAGGGTACAATCAGTGGGGACTAATTAATATAGTTTCATTTTCAAAGAGATTTAGCCATTATCAAATTGATATTGACATAAATTTTGTCTGAGGCTTGCAGCTTCACAATACACTATGCATATTCACGTGCACAAATCAATCAGTTATATGAAAGTTCTCATTTGATTTGTCTAATGAAATTTGATAAATCCATGTATCTGTACAAGCATATCACACACACACACACATTATATATTTCGTTTTAGACAAACAACAATGTTAGGCATTCGTAGCACCATCTCATAGTGAAACCTACTCACGGAGAGTTCATAATAACTAGCTGTAAATTAGTCAAAAACATATTAACAAATTCTTACTCTAGATTAAAATTAATATATACACTTACATCACTAGAATCTTAGTAGTTCTAGTCTCCTTTTTATATTTATATATTTGGTAAACGGTAAACTTAATTCCCTGAACTATTTTGGATAGGTCTAACAGTTTGTTTTCAATTTTAAAATCCTTGTTTTACATCATCATCCTTGCCTTAATCCCCATATGAATGGAGTCGGCCATATGAATTCTCATCTCCAACCTTTTAGATAATCATTGAATTTTAATTTATTTTGATCATTATCTTTATTATAAATTATAATTAATTTTCAGTGTCTGCAATCCTATGGTAGTAGTTTGTGTGCACAAATCAAGATTTTTTATCTAAATACGAAAATTTGGGGTTATTACATGAGTGGAAGTCTATTTTCACATGAAGTTCTCCATAATTTACCATAAATATTATTGTAACAATAGGACTGCATTATAATAGCGGCCCAAAAAAATCAGCAACAAATTTTCTAGATTTCCAGCAACTTATCATCTTGAAGTCCAAGCCTATTATAGCGCTTCTCCATCTCTATAGTCTGATACTTCTCTTCCACCTTTTCAAATACAAGTATCTACAAGCTATCCAAAAGCTTATTCCTTTTCCTTTTTGATGGATAATATTTGTTACAAGAGTACCAAAAAGGGCACAACCAAATACACGCAAAGGATACCAGAGAGGTCCCTGACCCTCACACAAGCCAAAATATGAGTATGTAACCTATCTACAGAATCAAATAGAAAGTCAAAGGAAAGATCACCATCCACATAATCCCATTAAACAACATCTCAAGAACTCGAGAAATGAATACTCCACCCGCTCAAAGAATCTATGATTCTTCTACTTCCAAGTGAGCCGTCATAGACAGAGGTAGCACAAGCTGTCTACCAACTAGAGGAATAGTTCCTTGAGTTTGAGAACAGAGAAGTACAATCAATGACTATCATTGCACCTTGCTGTCTAAGTTGTTACTTTTTAATTAGAAAAGGAAAAAAAATATAAGTATCAATAAAAACAAAGCAAAGAAAGAGACATACAAATCATAATGAGTCATTTGAAGAAAGAGAAAAGAACACTAATAGACAGAAAACTCTACAGCCTCAAAACTTTTACTAGGAATCGGAGAGATCATCTTCTGGATTACTCAATCTATTGATTGAAGCAATAGAGATAAACCATTCTGGATGAACACAGAATATCTCCAGAGGCTTAAAATATACAAAGTAACTCAACCAAGGTAGTTTGACTTTTAATCTTATCTGGGTTTCAAACTTGCTATTCTTCTTCATTCTATTTCAAGTCATTCTTCTCACCAATTCAGTCACTCTAATTCACATGGTTCGTCTCTTTCCCTTTCTTCTTTTCTCTTGGATAAATCATTAAAAGACTAGATGAATACTAATATAAGAAAACAAAAACATTAGATAGATTCAACCAATATATTCAATGATTTTCTAGCCTGAAATATAACTTGCATTGAGTTCAGTTAAAATGCTCATCCTTTTTTTTTTTGCGTATCAAAAAGGAATTCATAGTTGTAAAAGAAGACAAAGTTACCCACATGCAAATCAGTCCTCTCAGAAAAACCGTCAGTCTCAGTACGAGGATAACTGATGAAACCAGCTTGGTAAAGATCTTCTGCCACCTATAGGAATGTATATATATTAATTTCACATTTATGGTATATTCAACCATAAAACAATGATTTGGGGGGGAAGGGGGGATGAAACAATGTGAATGAACAGATAAAGCCAGGGCAATAATGGGCATGATAAAAATAAAAAGTGAATACGCTAGAGAAACCTTGCTCATTCTTTCAAGGACTGAAAAAGTTAAACTGCCCGAGAACAAAAGAAGTGAAGAAATGTATCATATTTCAGATGGACTTCCAGAAAACAAACAAATAAGAGGTCCAAGGAATACGAGAATGAAAAAGAAAAACAAGTTGTTAGTGAGGCAAACCAAACAGGCCACCATGAGAGATAGTACATCTGAAATATGTTTGACATCCGAGCACACTATCAATCTACACATATCAGGCAAAAAAAAATAATTTAATCTACACATATCAAATGGTACTTAAATAATTGATGAGAGCCAGCTAAGATAGTTCATTGACATTGGGGAGTGCTAAAGACTGAAGCCACTTACAGACAAGTTGACAAGGATCAGGGATTCTTTAATACAACACCACTTATTAAAAAAAAAAAAAAAAATTAAATAAATAAAATAAAAATAAAAAAGAAAAGAAAAAGAAGAAGAACAAGAACAAGAAGACAAGGATCAGGGATAATTGAAAGTAACTGAAGAGATTTAGAATTTAGACTGTCCAGATCTAACAAAATATGTTGCTTAAACTTACTCTTCTTTTTTCCTGAATAGCTTAAACTTACTTTAAAAACAAAAAACAAAAACAAAAAACAGTAAGAGGGTAGGACAGGGACAAAAATAGAGCAAACAAAAACAGATTGCCATAGATAGTCCTTACAAAGTATCTGAAGTACCAATTCAAGAACAAAATCTTATGCCCTAAATATTATATTTTTTCTTTTACTTTGAACTTCCAGATATATCCAGAAGTTTCATTACTCTGAGTGACGATCTTTGATCCAATATCCAACCATAATGCCTACCAAAAATTTTGCAAAAATGAATATGAATCACAAACCTTGAGCAAAATAAATTCCAATAATTGTGGCATTTATGAGAGAACATGAAATGAATTATAATTTGAGGAATTACTTTAAAAAAATTAATCAAGGATTTAGAAGTAGGCATATATCTGGTGAAGCAGTGTTGAATCCTTATGGCTGACCTTCATGGTGTGCTCAGAACTCATTCGAAAGTATCGTGACGCACGTTTCTCAAGCTCAATGGTACTTAAAGGATGAGGAGAAAACTTCAGCTTCTCCTGCTGTCTAACTATAGTGACCTGAAGAGAGAATAAGATGATCACTGCTAAAATTAGGTCAAAAATTAAACTGGAACAGTTTTCTATAACAAGCAGTAGTTTCAAACACATCGACTTTTGTATGATTCCTGTAACGCTCACAGTAGCAGTGGGTTCCTGAATACACATCTCGTAGATTATTACTGCACAAGTGTAATCAAACATATGCCCACGCCTGCAAAATCACAAAGCCAATTATTTCATTCTGACTGCAAAATGAATAACAACATGGATTGGTGCCAGATAGAGAACAATTTACATCCACTTGAAGGTAGCAATGCCCTCGTCCGAGTTGTGAGTGCAATTGATTGTCCAGAACTCTTCAGGCTCGTGGGATTGTATCTCCCAGAATCGTTCCACAACAAAGCCCAGCGTAGGGAACTGCAGGGTAAATTATGAAGTATGATCAATATTTGAACACTGAATTCCTATTGCAAAATACGAAATTGCACATGAAGCCATCAGATATACAGATCAACTGTACAACATTTTTAAAAACTATTGTCGTAGTACCTGACAAGGACCATAACTCAGAACAAGATTTCTGTCATCTGTAGCAAAATCAAGAACAAATGCATCTTTCAACAGCATAGTCTGAAATCTAGTGAAAGAAGCGCCAATCCGAAGATCTATTTCCTGCAGAAAATTCCAAAATCAACTTGATCCCTCAGAATGGTAATGGGTTATATGCATAAGCTCACAGTCCCTGCACCTAGGTGGAGCACAGGGATATAACGGGCAAAAGAACCCCTCCGAGCGTGCTATGGTCCTTGGCTAGGAGGGGCGCAGATGAATACTCGCAGAAGACTATTACCCACAGCATAGTGGTGCACAGGACTAGTAATGAATTCCCGCCCCAACTTGGCACGCAGCACTAGCAACAGAATTACCCCCTTGTGGAGGTCATGAAAGGGGGCTGTCATGGTCCCCACATGGGAATGTCACTATTGTGGTCGTGTCAGGAACCTGTCTTGGGCTTCTGAGCGACTGAGTACCTTCGCAGAGAAGGCAAGAAGCGCACAGAAGTAGAGACAGCTAGACAGGATGCTCCCTTGGTGTGATCCTGGGTTGTGGAAAGCGAAGTGGTAAAGGATAAATTTCTGAAAAGGGAGGCGGCAAAGGTGTGGGGAGCACTTATGCTTAACCTCAAAACGGAAGGTACATAACTTGCCCGTAGAGCACTTATGCTAACTTATGTCTCAATCCCATGCACAGGGCACTGGCTACAACAACGAAACCACACTAAGGGCCAAATTAGTTTTCCACAGTGGTCCTTTAGGATGCAAGTCGCAGTGTGTCCCAATGGAACATTATGAAAAGAAAACTCCTTTGGGACCAAAGTGTGAGATATGGGATGATGATGCAGTGTGCAGTGACATCATCTTTAGCGACTACGGTGCAGTGTCAGAAGAACACTTTGTCATAGTCGACACGGGAAAATGGGTGTGTCATGGCATGTATTGAATGAGAGGCTCGTTAGAGTGGGAAAGAGAGTGAAGCAGGGTCACCCCCGTTACACTGAGACCCATGAGATAAGGATTCCATGGTCAGACACAAAAAAGGGCATAATCAATGGACATGTGGCCCCACCAATTGGTGCCACGTGGATGACACCCCTATGCATAGCACATGCTTGATTACTATATATGGTATGGTGCCATGACGCAAAGGATCGTCAAGGCCCCTGCCATACTTGGTCAGTTGGTCCTTTCTCGCTCCCACTCTCCCCTCCAGTCCCCCCAACCCCCCCCCCCCCCCCCCCCCCCCCTCTCTTTTTTAATTCCCTAAGAGGCAATTGTAACCAACTGTGTGAGTAAATTCAGTCCTGAGTTATTTTTTTTTCATAGAACCCCTTTACAGACCATTAAACAGATAATGGGGAAAAGAAATAGTGGTAGAAACAGGAAATCCATGATTAAATTCTAAGGATGGTGTAGTTACAAGAACAAGTAACATAATGTTTCCATTTCCAAGGTCATCTATAAAATATCACAATTTACTGTGACAATATGAATACTGAAAATCCCATCCGAGTGTTTTGAAGTTACTCACCTGCCTAACATCTACTGCATCAGCAAACAATTTATTAGGTTGAACAAGATTCTCCACTGATTGACGGATTTCCCTGACCATTTCCAAAAGTAATCATCATCACATTTGAAGTCAAAAAGATAATCAGAGCTAAATCAGGAACAGAATGTTAGCCTTCACAACCTGTCAATTAATGCAGAAAAACGAGCCCTCCATATATTTAAATGACGATTTGCTTCTGTGCAAACTTGCACCACTTCAAATGCGATGTTTTCTCCTTCTCGATCACAATCCAGCCACAAAATAAGCCACTGGCACTTCCTAGCTTCCTCCTCCAATGTCCTTTTAATATCCAACTTGTCCTAAATTACCCAGTCATCCAATTAAAGAGATGGCCCAAAAATAACACACATTATACCTATTGAATGCAGATGGACAGTGGACACCAACCATAAAACCATTAAGAAACACATGCCATGATGGATATTAATTTCACCTTGCATCCCAGAAAAGGGCAATAATTAACTCTCTGTTTATTTGATGAACAATCAAAATTTAATTTAGTTATGCTAACCAAAACAAGCGCTTACCAAGTCAATATTGCAATCAAGCATGCACAGAAAGCTTAGCAAACATTATCCCGAAAAAAATATAAATATGCATTGGGTACTTCTGTAATTAACCTCAAATACAAAAATTAGATTGAGAAAAAAAAAAGAAAGAAAAGGTTAAAGATTTAACATAGATTATAAAAATAACTCAACTAAAACAAATGCTCCTTTTGATTAAGGAAAGAAGTAAGTGCATCAATCTTCAAAATGCTGTTGGTGGTTAAACAATTGTAATGCTTGAAAAATGAGATGTATTTTCTCAAATATGCCGTCCAAAAAAATCAACAATTAGACGAACAAGACACAACTGCATTAGCTCTTGACGTGTTTTTGATAAGCAAAAGGAGCAACTTACTTGCCTTTTTCTTTTTAAAGTGATAGTATTATACTGGAGGCATAATACTATGTGCTCTTATAACAAATGAAGAAGTAGACCTTGTAAATTATTATGTACAAAGACAGTATTATAATGGAGGCAATATTAAGACAAGGTGTACATGACGATAAGTCGATGACAATCGTGGAGCAAGTAGTAAAGGCAGTTGTGGCAGTATAATAACAGAGGTAGAGTGACAATAGTGGTAAAAGTGATAATTGTGGTACTGGCTTTTTAGCAGTGCAGTTGACCACGGATGATGCAATCCATAAGTAGCTCAAGAAAAGCATATTTATAAAAGAGAGATATATTGGATCCAATGATAATTGTTCAGCTTGCAAGTATACTAGTCTTGCTTAATATTGTTGCTTTTTTTTTCTTTTCTTTTTTTTCCCTGCAACATTCAGGAAAAAAAAAAACAAAAGCATGGAAGACATATGGGAATTGTTTCTCTGGTATGGTCCAGAATTAAACAAGGAGGTTGGGTGGTAGTGTTTGTCAGTCTAAGAAGGAAAAGTGCTAAGATTTTATAAGGCTTCAATATTGGAATGTTGCTTCTATTATGTAAGGCATATTTGGTCTTCTGTGACCAAATCTCCTGTGTTGGTTCATTGGACCCATGGGATGAAACTTAGAAGGATTTGAAAGTCTTAAACACCCAAATTATAGTAGTTGGGTTTGGAAGAAACTTACTAAGGTCTGTGAGAAAGAAAAACTTGATTTTGCACGTTGTATGAAATGGATTGGATCCCTCAATGTGATGTGATAAATAGCTACCATTTAAGACTATTTTGGACAGGTATGGTCCAATATGGAAACCTTTTTTTGGTTAGAAAGCTTTTAGATTTTGAGTTTTGAGTTGAAAATCAAATAAGTAGTTGATTCTGGTAAGAATTTCATGTCATCAAAACCAATCTGTATGTCTTCAAAAAATCATTAAAAACATAATACTTACAATATCATAATGAGACTTTATAGTACTCAAAACAAGACTCAATAAGCTTTTAACAATATATTATATACCTGATTTCAAATTCATTTAATCCTTCAACAAAGCATCTAAATTCCAGCTATGTGCAGTCCAGTTCAGCAGAAAACTGAGACTAATTGAGCCGTGACTTCAATAAATCGAACCCACTCTAGAAAACTACGATCGATTCCTAGGTCTAACGAACATCAATTGGTCACCAATTGAATTGTTGTAAAACATGTACTTTCTTTCTTTCTTCCTTTCTTTTTTTGACAAGTAAGATTGTATTAAAAAAGTGATCAAAGGGGGATCGCATCTCACAAGAACTGCACAAGGCCAAATAGGGCATCTACTCTCTCAAAGAGCCCAAAAAATCAACAATCTCCTCCAAAGATTTATAATTTCTCCCTACAACCCAACAAAAAAGAGTGGTGATAATGGAGAACCTCAGCAAAGGAATAGGTGTCTCCTTTCCTTCAAAGGGCCTCATGTTCCTTTCAAGCCATAAACACCACCAGCCGCACAAAGGCGTTGTCCTCCAAACATCCCAGACTTGGGCCCCCACTATACATCATCTCCAAGCCTCAACAAAACCTCTGGAAGACCTGGGCATAACCCACTGTACTCCAAACAAACATAACATCAAGTCCCAACAGTTCCTGGCCATGTGACAATGCAAAAGGAGGTGGTCAACCGTCTCCTCATCTCTAAGACACATGCAACAACAATTTTTTTTTTTTTATAAATAACACATGCAACAACAATTGACCACAACCTGATTTCTTCTCTTCAAATTATCCTAGGTCAAGATCTTCAAATGTCCACGCAAGGAAAACCACCTTCAAAGGGGCTTTGGATTGCCAAACCGCCATGTACTTTCAAGTCTAAATTAGTTTCTAAACCTCCGAAAACTCACCCAAACCATTCTAGATTGATTTCTAATCACTCCCAACTCTATTAAAAAGGAATCCTAGGTTCTCCAAACACAATTACAATACATGTGAGAGAAATTAACAAGAGAAAACATTAAGAGTTCTTTTCATCACATATTAGAATTGTAAATAGAAAACCTATTAAGCTATTGTGTGGTTGAGATCTCAAAGTAAGGAGCTTCATTGAAAACTTGAAAGAAGATTAACTACAACAACCATCCATCAAATAACCGAGAGTTGGCTGGCAAGATGGCAACCGATCACTATAAGAAGAGAAGCTCATGTTGGTGAACAAATTCGTTGATCAACAACAGCAAAGCACGAGTGGAGCATCAAGCGTAAGAGTGGATTAAAGGTAATGCAACATAGGTGATTCTTAAGCGTAAGAGTCTAGACATAGGGCTGTACTCTCTTAGATTACAGTGGATTAGTTGCATCTAGCTGCATCCCATGGTTTTCCCCCCTTGGTGTTTTCCATGTAAATCTTTGTGTCTCTTATTTACTTTACATAGTTTTATAACTTTATACTTTGAATGGCTTAGTTGATTGAATGATTATTCACATAAGCAAGACTAATTAATTAATTGAAGTTGATTAAAAATTGAAAAATGAGCAAAAAAAATTATCAGAGTTTGCGTAGGATATATTCACTTCCCTCTAGACACAGCGTAGCTCTGACGTATCAGGACCTTAGGTAACAGTGTTACCCTTCAATTTGTATCAGGGCATATGAATTGAAAATTTGTCACAATCTTGCAAAGGACAAGGATGTTGACACTTAATGTTGGCATTTTTCATAACAAAGCTGGAAATTATACTTTCCCATTGATTTTATCTCATTACATTAAAAAGTATTCGTAAAAATGATCAGGCACATTGAAGAATTTTCTAGTGAGACCGAATGGCGCGTGTTGATCACTTACATTAGGATTAAAATTGTATCAAGTGAAGAAATCTTTTGCATTTCATTTTAGATTGCCTAATTAATTGTTTGCCTGTTCTCGTTAAGTTATTTTAATCAATTTGGCAATTGAGGTTCACATGTATTAGAGAGCATTAGAATGCATTACAAGTCAAAATTAAAAGGGATCAATCCATCATTCACAGAAATTGATTGCTCAAATGCAAAGAACAAAGGATCGATAATTTATTGACCAAAGATCAATGACCGCGTTTCCACATTTTATTCTGCAAGAAAAAGTTTCTATATGTCATTTCACTTGGAATGCTCTTCTTAAACCTATAAATATACATACTAGGGTTTTAGAAAATAGATGAAAAAATATGGCAAAATGGATGCAGGAAAACATATTGAGAGCTATTCATTGAGATCTATATATAAACTTTGGCACATATCTAGCTTGGCACAACTTTTCAGAGATCATCTTGTTGTACATCTAGTTGTATGAGTGTGATCTTACGTAACTCCGAAAAATTGGAGAAGTATTCAATAACGTGCAGCGACTCTCATCAGTATTCGTTGACCGCAAAGCATAAGTGGTACGACAACAAACAATCACTGAAGAGCAGGTCACGTTGTCAGACAGATTCATTGATCAACAGCAGAGTGTCTAGCCTGAGAATGAATCAAAGGTAAATAGACATAGGTGATTCTTACGAGTAAGAATCCGCTAACGAGGGTTGTACTTCTTCGTTAACATTGGATTGGTTTGTGATGGACACTGTCCCTGTAGTTTTTGCCTCACTGAGGTTTTCCACATCAATTGGGCGTGTTTGTGTAGCTACTCACCTTTTCTTATTATTGGTTTCATTATTTTGTTGCTGATAAATCAAATTTTCCATTCAATATCATTGAACAAACACATTAGACAACGGAATTCAAAATTATTATTGGTATAGAACTATTCAGCCATTACCTCTAGACCTAGGATGCTCTGTGTTATTTGATTCTATATGAGAACAATGGCTAGGCTTCTTCAACTGGTACTAGAGCTTTGGTCAACAATGAACCTTCAAATGCTTTATTGCAACCGTTAATCATACTGATTGGAAAGGAATAGGAGGATCTAGAGGATTTCAATTTTTTTTTTTTTTTTTTGGATGATATAACATGTAAAGCTTGCTGTAGGTGGAAAGAAGATTATCTATGTGCCAATAGACAATTATTTGTGCCAGAGAGAACAAGTTACAAAATTTCCAGCAGCTGACTACGAGAATTCAAGCAGCATTGAGTTCCAACACTTGATTTGGGAACAACATAGTTTTCCACCTTACGGAAACCAAAATAATATAAAAATTGAGACTCAAAACTTTGTTTTATGCTATGCTCCTCTTCTCCTCTGATTCCTCCGCAACCAAATGATGGGTCAGAAGAGAATAAACTTTGATTGCTTCTAAAATCTTTAATATTTATGCCTGAAAAACATGCGTGTGTTTACATGTGTATGTATATATACATATATATATGTCGATATAGAGAGATAAATGAACCTCAGGGACATATTTGCGAACAGGAGCTTGGTAGAGATCGCCGGGGTCGCAGGAGTGCCACTTCCGATACCGGTCTTCGAACTCGAGCTCCATGAGATGGCCGATGACGGATGTGAAGAGCATTTGACATGGCTGTCCACGGATTGTGTAATTGAACTCGAAGATCTTGTTATACCTCGACCTCCCTTCTCTCACTCTCAGCCCTTGGTTCCTCGATAATATTCCCGCTACCGCCTTAGCCACAGACGGCTTCTCCGCCACGTTCAGTGCTCTGATCGTACGGCCACCGGACATTTCTCGCCGGAAATTGACGGTGTAAGCCGCCGTTTGGAGAGGGTCACAAAGAGTCTTCGCTGCTCTGATTTGAGTGAGAAATAAGGGCACTCGTGTTCCTGAACATGAAAGTTTTCCTCCCTTTATTTCCCGCCGCTTTATTGTCACGCAAATGACCAAAATATCCTTCGAGTTGAATGATGTTCAAATTTCAAAATATTGTACATGTATTTTGATATCAAAAATAAAATAAAAAATCTCCTCACCAAATGTGGGATTGAGAATTGGAGCCCGGTTGGGAAAATAGTCTGTATTTTCTTGTACTCTATGTATATGAAAAAGGTGATTATTGTTGTACCCACGGCTTTTTGCTCGAACTTTGGGCTTAAGCGTGCGTGTCCCCGAGTAGGGGGGCCAGTTGTCTAAATCCATGGAGTAAAATGGTGAACTCAAATGCGATGGGACGGTCAGTAGGACGCAAATCACCTGTTGTGTAATTTTCATGTTATTTTTTACCAGCAGTAAGTGACTTTAGTTTGGTCACGTTTTACTCTATTTAATAAATATTGAGATTGTATTTGGTAATTGCACCACTATTTATAAGTAATATTTTACCATCATTTATAAGTAACATCAGATAAGTTTAAAAGTAATATCACATAGTCTAAAAAGTAAAATCACCACCATTTATAAGTATGTTCACCCTCAAAACGTAGTGATTTTACTTTTTAAATTATGTGATATTACTTTTAGATTTCTGTGATGTTACTTACAAATGGTGGTGAAATGTAAAAATATCTATACATCTAAATATGTAACACCCAATTCAGCAAATTCAAGTTTTGGCCTAAATTTTAGACACCCAATTGAAAAAATCGATCTAATTGTGCAATTTTAACACTGGACATTATTTTGAGCACTCAACTAAAAAAATTAAAATAAAATTAAGAAATCAACCAAGGTTAGAATAATTTTTAGCATTTTCACTAATAAATTAATCAAATTAAGCATATATTCAACAAATTATGAAATTACTTGTATTGCTTGCATTTTCAAAAAATACAATTTTTTTTAGAGGCATTAACTACAATAATTCAATAAAGGAGTACTACTTGTTTTAACATAAAGAATTAATGGCAATATACAATTCCCAGATTCGGAAATTTATAAATGGTGGTGATGTTACTTTTTAGACTATTTTTACATTTCACCACTATTTATAAGTAACAACACAGAAGTCTAAAAGTAATATCACATAGTCTAAAAAGTAACATCACCACGTTTTGAGGGTGAAGATACTTATAAATGGTGGTAATGTTATTTTTTAGACTATGTGATATTACTTTTAAACTTCTGTGATGTTACTTATAAATAGTGGTGAAATGTTACTTACAAAAAGTGGTGCAATTGTCAAACACAGTCTTAGTGTCTATTAAATGGAGTAAAACATGGCCAAACCAAGGCCACTTACCGCTCACTGTAGGAAACAGCATGGGAATTGCATAGCAGGTGATTTACGCCAGTGGTTAGTATCTTATGTATTTAGGGCTGCGAACGAGTAAGCCGAATGAGGTCTTGTTTGAGCTTGGCTCAATCATAAAACTATAGTACTCGAATTGTTATGGATATTAATTTTTAGATTGTAAAATACTTCTATTGAAAAAGACGTTTTAAAATAGGAGAATAATTATAATAAAAAATTAATATTTAAAAATAATTAAACAACAAATAGAATTATATCAGAACAGAGAAAGATAGTTCTAGCCTGTAAGATGGAGAGGTATGTAATGCGCTGTCCTAAAGCCTTTGAAGTCTCCCTTAAGTGCAGATAATTCTGATCCACTAAAGACTCCAAGATACAACTCTAATTATTCCCTATGCGCACGATCACTAAGAAGCTTTCACCAAGTTTTGATGTCACATTGCCCCAGAGAAATAGAGAATATATATATAGTAGGAGTAGAATGTATGATTGCAGAGAGATATATGTAATGACCCGGTTATTTTCCTTCCTTTCCTTTTTCCTCAATTTTTACGGGTAAATTTTTTTCGTTATCTTTTCTTTTCTGTGTTGGGTTTCTCATCACTTAGTGTCATCTCGAGTACTCATAAATGGTTTCCAGAACTTTTTCCCTTGGATTGACAATTTCCTTTAAGGACCGAGTCATTTTCACATTTTTCATTTTTTTGACACTATTCACTTTTCATCTTTTTCCCGATAATGATTTTCTTCGTGTAATCTCATTTTTTGTACTCAGATTAGGTTCTGATTTTGCATGCATCCATGATATGTTATTTCCATGATATTTGTATTTTTACTTTTTGTAGAAAAGCATGATAGTTGCTTACTTTTCCGTAAAGGGCATGGATGAATAGTTTTTTTCAGAAACATTATATGTTTTTGGGTTTTTTTTTGTAATTATAAAAAATAATTATTTTATTTCTTAGGGACCTTTTTGTAATTTATTTTGGTAGATATTTTCAAAAAGGACCTTTTTGTAATTACCGAAAAGTGTGATAAATGTCGCGCTCTCATTGGGTCACTTGTAAGCATCTCATTGGTTAACACTTGGAAGCCTTGGATGATAACATGTGGAGGGTGGAGATTCACCCACTTGTTTACCTAGCATTGGTGCACTTGTTGGCTTGGATTGTTGGCAAGTGTAGGCTTTAAATTAAGCCTAGAATGAGTACATGCTTCTAATATGATAGTCTTGCATATTATAGGAAATCCTTATGATTGACTTAGGGTTTATTTGATTTAAGCATGTATATTGTGTATGTATCTTGTGTAGGATTATTGATGTTGTATATAACTCTTATTGATTTGAATTACTATACTATTGTGGTGATAATTCTACATTCAAGTTGATTACTATTGGTGATTGTAATTATTTTAGGAGCTTAATACTATAAATGTTGTAATCTAGTATATAAAGCTTATTGTTGAGACATGGTTTAAATTGATGAGTTGTGGTATTATATTGCTCATTATATCATGTTAAGAACTTGTCATTTATTATGCCATTCTAGATTTGGAACCCTAAGACATGGTTTGTGTGGTTTCAAAGGTACTTGTGCATGGAAGGTGGTTTATATGCCTTAAATTATGATATATAAGTTTTGAACTTGATATATTTTGGATTCTCTTGGGATATTGTGTTACAAGTGACATGGCTAAAGTTTGACTTTAGTGCGGGAGGTATGAGTTATCCCCAATTGAGATAGTGCGCACTAGGTTGGTCTTCCAAACGGGTTAATGCCCGAAATAACCATATTGATCTTGGTTTAGTCCAAGACGAGATGTCCAAGTTTTCCATTATGTGATTTCGCATTAAATTTCAAGTTGACAACCAATGTTTAATTGTAACTTGTAATTTTTGGTTGATTGCGAATTGATGTTGTTAAGTACATTGACATTGTTATGTGTTGTTTAAGAATCATTTAAGTTAGCTTAAGATGATCCCTTAGCACACCTTGAACATAGACGTTAAGTGGAATGCTCCCTTGTATTCGTCTATGTTGATCTCGCAATGATATTGAAACTTTAGGGTATATGCATATGCTTCTCCTACAAGTAACTTGATTACTCACCCTAGTGGTTTGGGTTGTTTTTCAGGTAAAGAGACCATGTTCATGGATGCTCGTCATCCTTAGAAGCTTTTGAGCTAGTTGAAGCATTTTTGTATATTAGCATGCACTTGTTAGCATGTTTTATCTTTTGGATGTAATACTTTTGTATACCATGGATGTATGGTATTTTAGAAGTTAAGATGGCCTCCTTCATGTAATGTGTATCTAAGTACTCTCTTTGGTGCTTGTTTTGTATGTATAACATGAAGCCAAGTGCCATGTACATTTATATCACATGTATGCTAGTTTAATCCCATAGTTGTCTTATGAAATGATGAGAATTCGAGGTTTGACAGGTTGTATTTTGTATATGACATGTTATGTGACCATGAGCTATTAGAACATGTGTATTTACTCATTTTACATATGTGTGCATGTTCACTTTGACACACAACACCATTCTTGATGAAATGAACACTTAGAGTAGCATTCATTTGCATATTTTTGTTAAATCAGACCTCAAGGGCATTTTTGGTATTTCACTTGAAAAATAAATGTTGGTCTTGACATGGTTGACCAGAAAACATGATTTTAAGGGGGGTTACTTCACAACTTTTTCCAAAAAAGGCCCAGAAAGTCCTCAAAATTGCATTTCAAGGTTGCATTTCAAGTGCAGCTACAGGAGTTCGAGCGCTCTAAAAGGGAGTTCGAGCGCTCGAAGTTTGAGCAGAAAGTTTTGGCCTCGGACATGTACTGTTCGAGTGCTCGAAGTCCTAGTTCGAGCGCTCGAAGTACTGTTCATAGGGTGTGTTTGTGTGTCTTGGTTCAGCACTACACCTCCAACTTTAAGTTGTCATATCTTCCTCGTTTTAACTCCGAATTAGTCCATTCTTGAGTCTAAACTGACCGCATCGAAATAAGCTTTCCAATGGTATCAATTAAAGTTTCAGATTCCTTTGGTAGATCAAGTTATTCAAGTTTTAGTGAAGGAGTGTCAGTTTTTGGCTCGAACTAGGATAGGGCTTTTCTTCCTTCGACTTCAAGACTTGATATCTTTGCCGTCCAGACTCCGAATCAAGTGATTCTTGAGTCTAAATTCATTTATTTTTCGTTGTCTTTCCAACGGTGTGCTTAGTAGTACTCACTTTTAGGATGGAAATGACCATTTTACCCTTGGGTTCCTTTTGTCCATTTTTGAAATCTTGTTTCTGCATTTGTTTTCTTTGGGTTCCATGATCTCATTGAGGGTCTCTTTGGTGTCCTAGAGACATGTTGTGTCCCTAGGGATGTCAGTTCATCTTTTGCTTCCGCAATTCGGATCCGTTATCGGGTCATCTTTCGGTTCATCACTGACGCACCGGGTTGAAAAACCTTGGGCCGTCACAAGTGGCATCAAAGCTCCTAGGTTTGAACACCTTAGGACGACCGGTTTTGGGTGCATATCATACTTTTGTTGATGTACTTTGATGCATTCACATGCTTTTGATAACATGTTTTGACTTTATAACATGTTTAGATGTTTCGTGATAACATGCTTAGTAGTATGACATGTCTTT